TTGCTCCTTTCCTGAGTTTTGAAACTACTAAAAATGAAGACAGAGAATTAAGGTGGCTAGAGATTAAAACACACAGGAACTCACCATTACTACTGGTGGAGCTGGCATTGGAGAATGTGGCTTCCTTCTTTTCCCGAGGTTGGAAAGACTGACCACTGTAGGCATTTATTGTTAATCAGGTTTAATGCAAACTGAGAAGGGTAGAAAAGACAAGATTTTTCAGGGTGGATTCCCAAAACCATCAAGAAGGAGGGGCTTCACAAAAAATATCAGCTTCTACTTCCAAATTTATAAGCCAGCTAAGCCACTGCACTCCACAGTATGAATGAGGAGGGGAATACAGGCCAGGAAAGTCAAGGAAATGGGGAATTCAATTCTCTCTTGATCTGGAACAAGGACCAGTAGAGAGAAGAAGCACTCTCACCAACAGTCAGACTAACTACTGTGAGTGCTACGTCTTCATTAGCTCATGCATCCATGAATTGTAGGAGGTAGGTACTACTATTAGCACCATTTTACAGTGCAGTTTTAAATTGCTTCAAGTCATGTAGTGATGAAACTGAATCCCAACTCCTCCAAACACATTCTGTATAATTTGCAGTGCTGTTGAGGTTGCCTGGATTAAATATAAATATATATATATAAATATATATATATATGATTTTTCATTTACACTTAATCATTGTATATATTTATGGCATACACTAGGGTTTTTCTCCCCTCGCCCTTATTCCCTCTCTCCTATACCCCATTGCCCCCTTGCACAGTCTCTAGTATCCACAGTAGCTCTCCATGCTTTTAAATCCTCCAATCTTTCAGTTTCTGCCATAAGAGTGCAGACCTCAACTGGGGACATACCATACCTCTCCTTCATAGTCTGGCTACTGGATTGTCTAGATTTTAGATCGTTTTGGAAATCTAAGTCACTGGAGAAGAGTATGTACTCCACAATATTAGTCACTGTCAGCATCTAACTCGGGTCATGTACAAGATTGTGAACATCTTCACATGGAAAAGACACAAGGTCCTGAAGTATGAAATCATCTCGGTGTGTACACCCACCCTCATTGCAGGGAATGTGGGGTTTGTGGGTCCAGGGCTCTTCTTTCCCTGAAAGAAGTCATGTACAGACTTGGGCCTGCGGAGGGCGCTTAGTGCTCACTCCCATTTAACTCTCAAAGGAACCCACGTGTTTATATACAGTGTCCAGAATGTCTGCTTTTTAAATTAAATTTCTCTTTTTTTTTTTTGTACTTTCTGTTCTTTTTTTTTTTTTTGCTTTTAAAATTTCTAAGTAGAAGACTTTCCTTGGTCCTTTGACTGTAAACATTGTTTTAAATTTAGTTGTATTTTAAAACTTTTACATTGCTTAAACCTAGTTTGTATTTTTCCTGCAGTTATTTATTATCAGTTGTCTTCTATATTAGTTTTTTGGACGAGAAACAGAAAACTTTGCACATGAAGAAACATTTCCCCGAAAGGTGTTCATTCCCAGAGAGGTGTTGTGCCACCCTCCAGGGTTACATCTATAAGGGCCCCTCAGTGCTACCCTCCAGGGTTACATCTATAAGGGCCCCTCAGTGCCATCTTCTAGGGTTACTTCTATCAGGGCAGAGGTAAGTGCCACTCTCAAGGGCCCTCAGTGAGCTAGACAGATTTCCATGGGTTTCCAGTCTCCTGGCTGATACAAATAACTTCCTGAGTAATCCTTGCTTTTAGCAAGTCACTAGCACTCTATTCTAAATTCCCTTCACTAGAAAGCAAAAGCCCAGCCCCATAGCTCATCCAGAGAGTTACTGGGGACTCTGTTGCTATCTCCTTTTTAAAATAAAATGATCTTCGGTGAGGAATATCAGAAATAAATAGTTATAGTTTTCAAACATAAATCTCTGACATTAGCCAGGACCCCTAAACAGCTTATATTCTACAGGACGGTGTTGGTAGGTAGGAAGTTCTACTTAGGAAGACTGCTGGGTATTAGCCCACCATGTAGCCTTCACCCTCTTTTGGAAGGAAACAGAATGGACAAGTCTTAACCAATCCATTAGACTTGTTCTATTGGAACTCTTTTTCTTTTTTGAATAATGTTTTTTTTGTTTAGTGTGTTTTTTGTTTGTTTGTTTGTTTGTTTTTGCTATAGGGCACGTGCACTCATTGGAGACACAGAGAAACAGAGAAAAAGTGAGAAATCAGGCCCTGGGGGGAAGGCCATGCTTCAATCCATCCCCTCCCCTTCATTCTCCTCTCAGGATCTTGGGGTATGCACACACACACACACACACACACACACACACACACACACACACCTAGTGTGAGTTTAAAGCCACTGGGTCAGGAACTTAAATTATAGTCAGCCATGTGGGGGTCCAGCACCCCAACCACTATGCCACCAATTGGCCCTCTGAGAACTCTTAAATAAATCAGTTCTTTTCCTATCATAAAAAGAATTTCCTCCAAAAGGATGTTCCTCATGCATAAATAGTTTTCCCAGATTCCCTCTTTCATTTCACAGAAGTGAAAATGTGACTGGACCAGGGCTAGGATTATTCCATCTATGTCTTTGAAACTGAGTCAGCTACCTCTTATCCTAAAGAATTTGAACCTGCCTCGGCAGCCAAGGCCAGCCCAGAGTTTGAAACCCACATCAGAAATCAGAAGCCATAGTATACTTCATACCTGCAAATGTAATGCATCTTACTAACACATTGAAGGGAGGTAGACCAGGGTTCAAAGCCAAGTTCATCCTTCAACAAGGATTTATTGAATGGGACAATGAATAGGCAGTCTACACCCTATTTGAACTTACGTCATACTTATGCTACTTACTACTGGGATGTCACCTGACTTCCATGAGCCTGGTGTCCTCGTCTACAAAATAGAGCCAGTAGTATTCATCCCATAGAATTCTTGCATGAATAAATGAGAAATCATATCTAAAGTATTAAACAGAATGCTTGTATTATTAGAAAGCTCTTCAAAAATGTTTATTCTAATTATACTGCGATCTTAGTGGTATAGCAAGACTGTCTTTACATAGGTCATGCATTCTCTACAATAATGCCAGAAGATAGGCAAGTAAATCTGAGGATTCCAACGCAAATTTCCTGATTTCACCATTATCTGCTTACAAATATCCAGACTTTTATTTCTAATTCAATTCATAACGTTTTCTTGTTGTTGTTGTTATTGTTTTCCTAAGGAATTATTTTTTATTTAACTTTATTTATTTACTCATCCATTCTGATTTGACCAGAGAGGAACAGAGAGTGGGGGGGGGGGCGGTGAAGGGAAGGAGGAAAGCAAGCCATCCAATCCAGGATTCGAACCACAGTCAGCCATATGGAAGTCCAGTGCTCTTAGCCACCACGCCACCTGCCTGTCTCCACCTTGTTTTTTATAAGTAGCCAATACTGAGAAGAATAAAGAAAGAATCTATGATTCAAACATTTGTTATTTGGGCTTCTTGGTGTGGGTGCGTGTGGCTATGCCTTCATCTATGGAGTCAAGGTAGCTTATTTAGTCCAGAGTCAGTTTCACTGCAATAAATCCTGCCACCTTACACAACCCTAATGTTTATGTGTGGGAACTAACACTTCCACGGCGCATCTTCTCCACCTAGTGGCCCGAGTCAAACTGGATCTTGAAAGTATGGGGGCAGTACCCAACCTTTCCTTAAATTTCAACAAGCAGATTGGCTTCCTAGGCTCACCCCTACAGTGCTGATCCTTTGTGATTCTTTGTTTTCTCCAAGCCCTTGGACAACACAGGAACTAATTATGTTACCCTTAGAGCAGCATCAAGTCTATCACAGCTCTTCGCCTTGGCTAAGTACCTTTGTCCACTTTCTCTTTCCTTCACAGTGCTGAGAAAGTGACCCCAGCTGCAGGCCTCTATGTAGTACAAAACTTGCTGAGGTCACTGAAGAGGGGAACTTTTATATTGGATTACTTTTTTTCCATTTTTTTCCCCAAAGGTAGTAGGGAAAAAAGAAAAAGGTGAGTTATAACAATGTACCGAGACTCTCAGACTCTCTCCCACATGGCTGACTACAGTTAGAGTCCTGAACCTAGTGTCTTGAAAATCACACTTGGTGCTTGTGCATGCATGCCCAAAATCCCAGGATGAGAATGGAGGAGAAGAGATTGCAGCATGACCTTTCCTGGAGGGGATGATTTCTCACTGTCCCTCTCACTGTCTCTCTCGGGTGAGCACACATGCCCTGTGGAGAAAACCTAAAAAAAAAAAAAAAAAAGGTTGTAGTGTTTTGCATTCTCACCAGCAATGCGTGAAACGTCCAGTCGTTCCACATCCCTTGTCAGCACTCGATATGGCCAGTCTTTGTTTTCACTAATAAGTGTGAAAGGTAATGCATTGTGGTTTTGATTTTGATTGCCTAATGATTATGACATTGAGCATATTTTCTCTTTTTTTAAGAATTATTTTTTATTTCACTTTATTTATTTATTTATTTTAATTTGACCAGAGAGGGACAGAGTGAGAGTGAGAGAAAGAGAGAGAAATTGAGAAAGCAAGCTGTCAGGTCCGGGACTTGAACCACATTCGGCAAAGTGGGAGTCCAGCGCCCTTAACCACTTGCCAACCCCAACTGAACATATTTTCATGTGTTTCCCCCCCACCCCCATTTGTGTAGTTTCTTTGCTAAAATGTCTGTTCAAATATTCTGCCCATTTTATTACCGGGTGTTTGTTTCCTCGCAAGTGTTTTGAGAGTTCTTTCTACGTTGTATTTTATACTAACTCGTGGTTTGACCTTTTTTTTTTAACTTTTTCTTTTTTAAAACACAAGTTTCCCCCCTTTTTTTTTTTTTTCTATAAAGACAAAGTAACTTAATGAATGTAAGTATCTGAAGTGGAAAAACTCCCACAGCCTGTCTGTAACTGCAAAGCTGGGCTTCCCCAGGGACTCAGAGCTCTCTGGGTATGGCCAATAGCCTGTTTCATTGAGCACTGACATTTTAGGACAGTCTGCACCTGTGCACCTTCATCTCTCCTCCCCCCCGGCCTCTTCCTCCCCTCTGCAGAGATCCCCTTCTTCTTTCAGCTCTCTCCCAACAGAGGTCAGAGCCGCACGGCCCCTTCTCTAAGTGAGAAGCCACCTTGTCAGGCCACAGGGGAGGCAAAAAGGAAGTGACAGGAGTGGTGAAGGAACAGAAAGGAAGACACGCGAGGACCAAGAGGATGGGAAACTCTCTGCTGAGGGAGAACAGGTGAGTGCAGCCTTGCTTCTTCTGGGGGAGCAGGAAAGATGAGACAGGGCAATGAAGCTTGAAAAAGAACCAGAGGTCTGCTTTCGGGGCTAAAGGGACCGTGTAAAGAACCTGAAAAGAATTCGGTGCCTAGTGTGTGCTCGACAAGGTTAAATTCCTTGTCATTTTTGCTTCTCCCTGGGATCCCAGTGAGCAGCTGGTAGAGAAGAGCTGGAAGGTGAAAGACGTGATCAAGGGAGGTCTATGTAACAGGTGACCACCTACGAAATGGAACAGCCCTCTGAGGGTTAGGGAAGAGAATGCTCCACAAGGAGGTGGGGACACCACCACCCATCCAGTCCCTGCTTTATGTTCACCGTTAGTAAGCAAGTTTCCTGTCACCAGGAGGCCTTTCTCGGTGCATCCTCCCTGCAAGCAAGTAAGCCGTGGTCATGTAAATAGATGGAGAACTTGGCTTAACTTTTTGGACTTTCAGTTTCTGCATTCGAAGGGAGGTAATAATATCGGGTGGCTGGGAAAGTCATGATGCATTTTTGCATAGAAAAACAAACAAACAAAAAACAGAAAAAGACATCATGACTTGCCTAACAACCTAATACGATACCTATTTTGGAAGGCTCACTAGCGTGTATGGTACTGCACAGTGCCTGACACAAAATAGGATTCAATAATTAGAAGGTAGCCACACTTCTTTTCAGACCATCATCTTCATTCATATCAAAGCAACCATTGTAAAAATTAGTACCCCCCCAAATAAGGAGATCTCTAGGACCTAACGTGAGGTGGTCTACAGAGAGTGAGGAAACTGAGCTGACAAGGGGTAGGAGGGGGTCTTTACAGGATTATACTTGGTGTCCCAGGTTCATGTCATGGGAAAAGTGGGACACAGGAAAAGGATGTAACCCAAAATGCCACTTGTCAAAAGGAAGGTTCACAATCCTACAAAACGTCTCATGCCACCTCCTGACAATCGGTATTATTAAACACTGCTACTCTCAGGGTCTTCACACTTCTTGGTCAATCTTCTACTCAGCTGTTTTTCTATCAGATTATAAATAGTTTTTTTTATGTATAAATGTGAGCTCTTAAATGCAGAGATTGTTTTTATTCATCTTTGAATTTCTGGTTCCTGGCATAGAAAAACAAACAAACAAAAAACAGAAAAAGACATCATGACTTGCCTAACAACCTAATACGATACCTATTTTGGAAGGCTCACTAGCGTGTATGGTACTGCACAGTGCCTGACACAAAATAGGATTCAATAATTAGAAGGTAGCCACACTTCTTTTCAGACCATCATCTTCATTCATATCAAAGCAACCATTGTAAAAATTAGTACCCCCCCAAATAAGGAGATCTCTAGGACCTAACGTGAGGTGGTCTACAGAGAGTGAGGAAACTGAGCTGACAAGGGGTAGGAGGGGGTCTTTACAGGATTATACTTGGTGTCCCAGGTTCATGTCATGGGAAAAGTGGGACACAGGAAAAGGATGTAACCCAAAATGCCACTTGTCAAAAGGAAGGTTCACAATCCTACAAAACGTCTCATGCCACCTCCTGACAATCGGTATTATTAAACACTGCTACTCTCAGGGTCTTCACACTTCTTGGTCAATCTTCTACTCAGCTGTTTTTCTATCAGATTATAAATAGTTTTTTTTATGTATAAATGTGAGCTCTTAAATGCAGAGATTGTTTTTATTCATCTTTGAATTTCTGGTTCCTGGCATTGTTTCTGGCACAAAGTAGACACTCAGTAAGTGTTACAATAAATGACCAGAAACATAAAGAAATAATTGTCTTTGGAAAAGAAGTAAAACAAAATACCGAAGTGAAGTGAGAAAGTAGTGATTACTGTCACATATATCATTTTAGTTTTGAGAACTCTGGTGTAGAGGTAGAAGATTATGATAGTAATGTGGATTCACTGTAAACATAACAGAAAATACCAAAAGTATAAATAAGAAAATAAAAACCTGGTCATTGAAGTTGTAACTGTAGATAGTACTGAATGCATTTTCTTTAGTTTAATTTCTATATTCATCAGCCATTTGTCTTTCTTCATCTGTTTTGTTTTGTTACTCATAAAAGCTACGTGCTTTGAATAAATTAGTTCCTTCTCATAATATTATAAAAAATATTTTTTTCCAGATTGTTGATCTTGTGCCAGCTGGATTTTTATGGTTTTATGTTTAGTATATCTTAAAGATCATGGAATTGAATCTAAAAGCTTTTCAGTGTCTGCCATTATACTTATGTTCAAAATTCTTCCCTCCTCCCAAGACAAATCCATGCAAATCATTTTTTGTGTTTTTATCATTTTATACTTAGCCTTGTGCATTCAATAGTAATACATACACATATTTTCCCCCTAATAGTTGATGAGCCAACTGAGCATCTTCACTTCTATGCTTTTAAAATCTCGGGAACCAGCAGTTAGCGTAATGGCTATGTCGCTGGACTCCCACGTAGTTGACCGCGGTTCGTGTTCCGGACCCGGTGGCTTAAAACTCACGCTGGGCGCGTGTGCGTGCGTGCCCAAGATCCCGAGAGGAAAATAGAGGAGAAGGGATTGCGGCGTGACCATCCCCCCTGGGGGGTGATTTCTCGCTTTCTGTCTCTATGTCTCTCTCTGTCTGTCTGGCGAGCGCACGCGCCCTACAGTGAAAATCTCTCAAAAAAAAAAGATCTCTAGGACCTAACGTGAGGTGGTCTACAGAGAGTGAGGAAACTGAGCTGACAAGGGGTAGGAGGGGGTCTTTACAGGATTATACTTGGTGTCCCAGGTTCATGTCATGGGAAAAGTGGGACACAGGAAAAGGATGTAACCCAAAATGCCACTTGTCAAAAGGAAGGTTCACAATCCTACAAAACGTCTCATGCCACCTCCTGACAATCGGTATTATTAAACACTGCTACTCTCAGGGTCTTCACACTTCTTGGTCAATCTTCTACTCAGCTGTTTTTCTATCAGATTATAAATAGTTTTTTTTATGTATAAATGTGAGCTCTTAAATGCAGAGATTGTTTTTATTCATCTTTGAATTTCTGGTTCCTGGCATTGTTTCTGGCACAAAGTAGACACTCAGTAAGTGTTACAATAAATGACCAGAAACATAAAGAAATAATTGTCTTTGGAAAAGAAGTAAAACAAAATACCGAAGTGAAGTGAGAAAGTAGTGATTACTGTCACATATATCATTTTAGTTTTGAGAACTCTGGTGTAGAGGTAGAAGATTATGATAGTAATGTGGATTCACTGTAAACATAACAGAAAATACCAAAAGTATAAATAAGAAAATAAAAACCTGGTCATTGAAGTTGTAACTGTAGATAGTACTGAATGCATTTTCTTTAGTTTAATTTCTATATTCATCAGCCATTTGTCTTTCTTCATCTGTTTTGTTTTGTTACTCATAAAAGCTACGTGCTTTGAATAAATTAGTTCCTTCTCATAATATTATAAAAAATATTTTTTTCCAGATTGTTGATCTTGTGCCAGCTGGATTTTTATGGTTTTATGTTTAGTATATCTTAAAGATCATGGAATTGAATCTAAAAGCTTTTCAGTGTCTGCCATTATACTTATGTTCAAAATTCTTCCCTCCTCCCAAGACAAATCCATGCAAATCATTTTTTGTGTTTTTATCATTTTATACTTAGCCTTGTGCATTCAATAGTAATACATACACATATTTTCCCCCTAATAGTTGATGAGCCAACTGAGCATCTTCACTTCTATGCTTTTAAAATCTCGGGAACCAGCAGTTAGCGTAATGGCTATGTCGCTGGACTCCCACGTAGTTGACCGCGGTTCGTGTTCCGGACCCGGTGGCTTAAAACTCACGCTGGGCGCGTGTGCGTGCGTGCCCAAGATCCCGAGAGGAAAATAGAGGAGAAGGGATTGCGGCGTGACCATCCCCCCTGGGGGGTGATTTCTCGCTTTCTGTCTCTATGTCTCTCTCTGTCTGTCTGGCGAGCGCACGCGCCCTACAGTGAAAATCTCTCAAAAAAAAAAAAAAATCTCTTCCCTAATGTTTAAGGAGGTCTTTCAAAAGCTCAAGGAGAATCCTACTACAAAGAATCTCTACATGGATTTCAATTTTTGCACCAATATAACTTGTACTGTATAATTTTATTTTTCTATAAACTTTTTGAAGTCTGCTTATATTCAAGAGTCTTGTATTTGCTGGTATCTGACTTTCAACTTTACTCTGCCACTCAGTTATCGTCCACCCAGCACGCTGTCCTCATCTCTCCAGATCAAATTATTTACAAATCTGGCAAAATTCCCTCCGTAGGACAGAGCACCACTCGTCTCTTCATGAGAAGAGCTCAGTATTTCTGAAGAGGGAATCTACTGGAAGCAAACCCAGCCTCTCCCTCTTACTGGTTGTAGATCCTCAGACAAGTTACCTAAACTGTTTGCCGCGGTTTCCTTGTTGTTACACTACAGTATAATAATATCCACTCATGGATTTACTCTAGGATTAAATGAAATAGCACACATGAAATGACAGTGAGTAGTGTTCAGTTGTTAGTTTCTTTTCTTCACCCCCTCAACACTGGGCAAATGAAAAATGGTTATAGGGGCCAGCAGTTAGCGTAATGGCTATGTCGCTGGACTCCCATGTAGTCGACTGAAGTTCGCGTCCCAGACCCAGCGGCCTAAATTCATGCCAGGCATGTGTGCGTGCATGGCCAATATCCCAAGAGGAGAATGGAAGAGAAGGGATTGCGGTGTGGCCATCCCCCCTGGAGGGTAATTTCTCGCTTTCTGTCTCTCTGTCTCTCTCTGTGTCTGTCTGGCAAGTGCACGTGCCCTATAGCAAAAGTCTCTTCAAAAAAAAAAAAAAAGAAAGAAAAGAAAAGAAAAATTACTATAAAGAAAAGCAATCCAAACAATGAGACAATTTATTTTCCATTTTGAATCCTTCCCTTCCCCCTTTTATCCTGTATTCGCTGCCTCTGAGCTTCTTGTGAAAGACGGCAACTTACATGAGAGGCCATAACCCTCCCCACTGCTGGTGAGCAGTCCCTGGAACTGCTCCAAATAGATGATGATAGCGAAGGCGCCCAGACCTCTCTGTACACCAGTATTCTCAGGCTGTGATGAGGATTCCTGGACATTTGGAAACAAATATTTTCGGATCAGATATGTGGCAGTTGCTGGAGGATATCAGAGGGCCACTGCTGTGGCAATGGAAAGAATGTCAGAGGACTGATTGTGGGGTGTGTGGAGGAAGGAGAATTAGCAAATGCGAGGTAACAAGGGACAGGCCAAGGGGATTCCAGGGCTATTGACACATAGCAGCAAGGAAGGGAGCGGGGAAAATTATGAAAAGAAGCAGGAAGCCTGCAAAGAAAGTACCTAGCCCGCTTCTGAATGTTTTGTTTTAGGCAGCAGCAGGACATCCAAGAGCTACCTGGGAACCTGAGACTCCAAAGTCCCCAGCAGAGAGCACCCAGGTAAGTGCAGCCTTGACAAAACTCGGACGGGCCTTTTCCCAGGAAGAGTGAAGTCAGTCAGGTCCTGGATTTCTCACCCCACATCCTCGGGTCCTGCTCACACCAGTGTCCATGGTATTAGAAGTAAATGTGGGACCTGGAAAGTGGCATATTGGTTGGGGGTGCTGGACTGCCACATGGCCAACTGTGGTTCAAGTCCCAGACCTGGCAGTTTGTCTTTCTCATCTTCCTTCTCCCTCTCTCTCTCTCACTCTGTCCCTCTGTTGTCGAATATAAAGAAAGTTAATAAAATAATTCTAAAATAAATAAATAATTAAAAATTTTTAAAAAACCTTAAAAAAGGAAGTAAATGTGATGTGAAGACAGGATGAAAAACAAAAAAGCTCTGGAATTTTGGACAGGAGATGTGCTACTTTGTTAGGAGTTTAGTGTAACCCCTACCAACAGTAAAGACCTCGTTAGTCCCTGCTTTCAACTAAAGGTCCTTATTCCTTGCAGCCTCTTTTTTTGCCCCCGTCAAGTACCTTTGTGCTCAAGCTCCATCCTAGCCATTTCATTTTAAGCTCTAAGTGTCTATTTCTTTTTCTTTTTTCTAAAGAGAGATTTTCGTTATAGGGCACACGTGCTCACTAGAGAGACAGAAAGCAAGAAATTGCTTCCCAGGGGGAATGGCCACACCGTAATTCCTTCTCCTCCATTCTTCTCTCAGGATTTTGGGCATGCACGCACATGTGCCCCTTGTGAGATTTAAGTTGCCAGGTCCAGGACTCGAACTGCGGTTGACTATGTGGGAGTCCAGTGACATAACCAACACGCCATCTGCAGGTCCCGCCAGGTGTCTATTTTTGAGTCTCACATCTGTTGAAAGGTTTGCCAAGAGACGCTCGTGATTATCCTGATACTGTTAAACCATGACCACCTTGTCAGTCCCTCCTGATTAGGCCTTTTGAGTACCCGGACCTTAAAGAATTCTCTCTGAAAAAGGGGGAATCACTAAAATATGGAACTAATGGAACAGAGTTTAAGAATCCCACAGGGTGGCAAAGTCAGTTTTTCTGAGACTTGTAATATTATCTGCATTTTCTTATGGTTTCAAGAGGAACTTTTTTTTTTTTCCAATTTATTTGCATTCATTCACTGTACATCATTACAGCATACACAATGAGATTTTCCATCCAGAGTACACTGTATATTGTCTCAATCAAGCACATCAACAAACATGTAATTATTAGCAAATGATCTTCCATTTCTTGTTTTCTGTATGTTTTGCTTTTCCTCCCCCATCCTTGGTTCCCTCTCTTACCCTCTGCCACCTCCTGTTCTCCTCCCACACTGTCTCTGTTATCTATTTCTATACCATTTTCCCCCCACATTTTATTGAATCACCAAAGACCCTCATTAATCCAAATACCCTCCCAGCAAACACATGTGACACACACATTTCCATGAGCACAAGTCTAACTTTACGCATCCTATAAATTAGCACCTAACTGGGGCTACATATCCTACTGCAGTCATTGAATAGATACATTTTGTTTTCCTGAAACTTTTTTTTTGTAACTCAATTTACATTCCTTCCCTAGGCATCATCACAGCACACAAAATGCGATCTCCCATCCAGTACACACTGCATAGTGACTCAATCATGCACATTACAAAAAAAAATAAATTTCCAATTCTAGTTGCTAGAATTATTTCCATCCCTCTTTCTGACCCTCTGTCCCTTCCCACCCTCCTCTCACACCACCTCTAGTGTCCAAAATTGTCCTCCATTCCCTTCCCACCCACATTGCATTGATCACACAATTTCCTACATAACCTGACTACTTTCAAAGGTGAGTTCCCTCGTTACTACTAAGAAAACCAGTTTTAACTTAAATCAAAGAACCGCCAAGGAACTTTGCTTAAAGCCCGGAAACAGGTTAGGATTCTGTTCAAATGGTAGGTGCATGAACCTATCAGTCTCATATACTTTTATCTTCTGTTCTGGTTCAATTTTCCTGATTAAATTCTGGGATATAGTATTCAACTCCAGACTTGTCCCTATGATTAAGTTAGCTACTTTCTCAGTTTTTGGACTCTTATTTCCATGTATCTGCGTTTAGTTTTCCTGATACAGCACATCCTTGAGAACTTCTTGGAGGTCTGGTCTGGTGCTGGTAAATTCTTTCAGGTTTTGTTTATCTGAGAATGTTCTTGTCTTTTCTTCCCACCTGAAAGATAATCTTGCCGGATACAGTATTCTTGGCTGAAACTGCTTCTCTCTTAACACTTGGAATATATTTTCCCATTCTCTCCTCGCTTTTATTGTTTCCGATGAGAGATCTGCTGTTAGCCTGATGGGATGTCCTTTGTAGGTAACTTGCTGTTTTTCTCTTGCTAATCTTAGTATCTTGTCTTTGTCTGCAGTTTTGGTCAACCTGGCTATAATGTGTCTTGGAGAAGATCTTCTTGGGTTGATTCTATTTGGGGTCCTTTGTATTTCCTGGGACTGGATCTTCGAATGCCTCTCTAGGTTTGGAAAGTTTTCTTGCAGGATTTCATGGAATAGATTATCAATGCCCTTATGGGTTTCCTCACCTTCTGGAATGCCAATTATCCGGATATTTGGACGTTTGATGGTATCCAGTACTTCTCGCAAATTATTCTCAAATTTTTGTGCCATTTTCTCAGTCTTCATGGTGGATTTTTCTAGGCCAGCCATTTTCTCCTCTACATCTGAGATTCTATTTTCTGAATGATCTAGTCTGCTTTTATTACTTTCCAGGGAGATTTTGACTTCTTGTATTATAGACTTCATCTCTAGCAGTTCCGTTTGAGTCTTTTGTAAAGTGTGTAATTCCACTTTTAGATCTTGCAGGAATTTCCTCATCTCTTGGAACTCGTCAATTTCTTTCTCCTTTCTCTTTAGCATTTCATTATCTCTCTTCTCTTCCATCTCTGTTAGCTTAGACATTATAAATTATCTGAATTCCTTATCAGACATTTCCATGATTTTCACCGAACTGCTTGTGGATGAAGAGTTACTCTTTTCCCTAGGAGGAGAGGTATTTTCTTGTTTTCCCATGTTTCTCGTGATCCGGCGGTGATTTCTTGTCATCTGATGAATGTTGTGTTTCTTTCAAATTCTTGAGGTTCAGCCTTAATGTTCAGGAGCAAGCAGACAGAGGTGATCCAGAATCTCTTTGCTGTTCTATTGTGCTTCCGCTAGCTCGTTTGTTGGAGGCTGAATTGTTAGTAGAAAATCTTCATTCCCTTAAAAATCTAGTTCACAGTAGCCATGTGGAAACTTGTTCTCAAGAGGAACTCTTGAAAGAATTGAAACTAAAAAACAACTCCAGAGTCAAAACCCATATTAGGGGATAGAGATGGAGAGATCCCGCAACAGGATGCATTTCTTCAGTACAAGCTGAGAATCATATATTTGGGGGGATATATTTGGGCCTCTTTTAAAGCACACAGTCTGATTGGTGGAATAAATCAGATGGGCCATAGCCATTATACTAAAGGAGAGATTCAGTAGGCCAGGGAACCAAGGAAGAGACAGGAACCTAAAATGACTGCCATGTCGCCTGCGGTCATAGAGATCCGTCTGACCTGCTTTGTGGAGGTGGTCTGAACCCATCACAACCCAAAGCATCTCTATTGAAATATAAGAATAAACTAAAGTGAAGTTGAGTGGAGAACTAGCTGGCTTCCAGATGACTTTTGCCTATTATTTCACTTTCTCTAATCCTTACAACTCCACAAGGTAAGAAATAATATGTATCCTCGTTTTGTAGATTAAGAAACTGGCTCAGAAATGTCTCTGAACTCAGAGACATTTATCCAGTGACCCCAAATCACCCATCTCCTTTCATCTCACTCTTGTAACTCCCGAGTAAACCTGGTTACTTACTTCTGGTGTAATTCAGTAGTTTCTTCATGGTGGTTCTTTAGTAAGAAAAGCAGGAGATGTAACCAAATGGCTCAAAGAGCCAGAAAATAGTCTGAAGAAGAGGGAAAGTGGCAGCCCTGCCCCTCAGCCCAGTGACTCTCATTAAACACAAATCCCTCAGCCCCACAACTCTCATTAAACACAAATCCTAGAGGCTGCCAGGACACTCAGCCAAGCTGGCGACCATAGCCAAGATCAAGGTGCAGGCCACCTCTCTTCTACCGCCCCTTCTGAGGGAACTCCATGGAAAGCTCATTGGCACAGATGTTTCAGGGACTGTGTTTTCCAAATGTTTTCCCATAGTGTACCTGGTACATGTAGTACTTTATAAAGATCTCTCACATTCAACTGTGTAGGTAACTTACCGTTCCTCGAATTCAGAAAGTTACACAGAATGGTCATTTAATGTAGATGTCTGACAGCAGAAATATCGAAAGTCTTTCTGCCGAAAAAGAGGTAAGTCCTATTGTTTAGCTCTACCATTGGTATCGAGGTGGTAGATCTGATCATCTCCTGCAGTTACGGCTGCTCTGTTCTCGACTGATCATTTCTTCTTTATGTCTTCATCTTACCTTTATTGAAAACGTATTTACTGCATATCAGACATAGCACATGCTGGTGATGCATCCCATGATGAATGTGAAGCTCACATTCTAGTGTAGGATATAAACAAGTAAATAGACCATTGAAATACAGTGTATGAGACTGGCAGGTGGCATGGTGGTTAACCATGGCCAACCGTGGTTCAAGTTCCAGAACTGGTGGCTTGAAATTCATGCTGGGTGCATGTGCATGCATGCCAAAAATTCCAAGAGGAGAATGGAGGAGAAGGAATGGTGGCATGACCATCCCCGCTGGGGGCAGTGATTTCTCACTTTCTGACTGTCTCTGTCTCTCCAGAGAGCACACGCAACTCTGTAACAAAAATCTCTAACCCTCTCTCCTCCAAAAAAATGTGTGTGTGTGTATGTGTGTGTGTGTAGACGAGAGAAATTTAGAGCACAATGAGATCCTGTACCAATATTGTCTAACGCATGCCTGAAAAGAACGTATGTCTTAGGCAGACGTCCACACACTAGTTCCTCACTATCCTGGAGATACCTATTATGTGTTCTTCGTCACAAGTGCATCAAGTCAGTCACTAAAACTGGGGATAAGAAACCCCACAGGTATGGAGAGTGGAAGGGAGTCTCCTTAACAACGCTGCAGAAGTCGATCTTGTGTTTTATGTTCTCTCTCTCTTGCTTATTTTAGATGCTGGGGTTGCCACATCGCTGAAGGGTGTTTCTGCTTTCCGTGGTGAGTGGAGAGTTGTTTTTTAGGAGTTATTTCCCTAAGTGTGGTTTCAGTGTGGTATTTGCTGTAAGTTACCTGTGAACTCCCTGCTATCTGTGGACACAGCTTGTCACTAGTCCAAACACGGCCACCAGAGTCCTTCGGGGAAGCAAATCTTCAAATCTGGTGAGAAACAGGAACAGGTTGATGGGTGTCATGCTCTCCTCAGATGGGAAAGCTCAGACTAGCTTCTAAGATAGAAAAGGATGCCTTTCTCGTACTGCAAATCCCGGTGTACGGAAGCACACTGCCCCTTGCACGCTGAATTTATAGTCAGGGTGATCACGTGATTGATCTCCAGACTGGGACACTTTGAGAGCAAAGAGGTGCTAAAAATAGCTCATGATGGCTACATGGTTAATAATGACATTAACCGGACTATGAGCAGACCAGGACACACTGTCGGCACCCTTAAGCAGATGTTGTCCTTGTCTCCTGAGATGATGATGAACTTCCAGTATACCGAGGTCACTTTCTATTTAACTTTTATTTATTTATTTTAATTTGACCAGAGAGGGGCAGAGTGAGAGAGAGAGAGAGAGAGGGAAAGCAAGAAAGCAAGCTGCCAGGTTTGGGACTTGAACCATGGTCAGCCATGTGGGAGTCCAGCGCTTTTATCCACTACACCACCTGCCGACCCCCCGAGGTCATTTTCTGAAGTCTCCTATAGTATGTGCTCTTATGGGAGGTTGTGTGTTTGGTGTTTTGGAGACATAGTGTAGGATTGGGGTGGAAAATAACCCAGCTTCTTTTACTCACAGGAACCAGAGAGGGGCAGAGTGAGAGAGAGAGAGAGAGAGGGAAAGCAAGAAAGCAAGCTGCCAGGTTTGGGACTTGAACCATGGTCAGCCATGTGGGAGTCCAGCGCTTTTATCCACTACACCACCTGCCGACCCCCCGAGGTCATTTTCTGAAGTCTCCTATAGTATGTGCTCTTATGGGAGGTTGTGTGTTTGGTGTTTTGGAGACATAGTGTAGGATTGGGGTGGAAAATAACCCAGCTTCTTTTACTCACAGGATATAAAAGAAACCGATACTTTGTCAGGGAAAAATAAAACCTCTCAGAAGGGTAACACAATATACCGTAGTTTTCCATCTGTAAGTTAACTCTACATCATATTTAGAAAGGGAGGTGGGAGGAAAGAAAGAAAGAGAGGGGCGTAGAGGAGTATGAGGGAGTCTTCAAAAAGCTCGTGAAAGTGCACTTAGGGAAAAAAACTGCAAGGATTTCATGTTTTTGGTACCAAATAAACTCATACTTTAATTCAATTTTCCATGAACTTTTTCAAGTGCCTACAAATTTCCACTTGCCTTTATCTTTCACTTCTTTTTACTTTTCATTGTCTTCCTCCTCTCTGCTTTAGGAGGTACGATAAAAGGCATATGACTTTATTATATTGAAGCATTCAGAACAACTGTCATAAGCCAGTGTAATTTCCTTTCGAGAGTTTCTGAATATTGAAACTCCATTTTCTTTCCTTTTACAGGAGGAAAATACACATGTTCAAAGAAAAACAAGATTTCCAAAAGGAAAGTAAGTTATCACTTCCCTAGCATTTTTAGTTCTGATAGAAATACATTTATAAACTGCCCTCGCTCTGTGTTCCCGAAGACCATTGGACATTTTGCTGCAATTTATCCAATGGCACGTGTCTCTTCCCCACTAGAGTGTGGGCTCAATGAAGCAAGGATTGATTTATGCCCTCCTTATTCCTCAGCTGGTGCCCAAAGACTAGAGGCTGAAGGAATTAACTGGGGACAATATCTATAACAGGCAGAGGCATAAGACACTTATAAGGAAAGGTAGCGTGCACACCTCAGAGCTTGTGGCCAAGTTACAGATTTGGGTCTTTATCTGAGAACCACAGCAGGCACTGAAGGGCTTTACCCAAGGGACAGGCATGATAATATTTGCATTAAAGAGATCGTCCTTGTTGCTATGCAAGACCAAATGCTAGCAGGGAGTGGGAAGAGGAGACACCAGAAGACCACTTAGGAGGCTGATGCAATCATCACTATTTGATCAGTGTAGATTTTAAGAAGAGGGAATAATTTGGGAAGAACAGGGTGGTGGAATAGTGTCATACATAGAGAATAAGAAAGCACAGGCCTGAGGTGGCCATTGCATTTTTATTTTAACTGCCAGAGGTTGTGTCTGTTTTGCAGAGAGAGACAGAGAGGGAGAGGGTAAAAGCACCCCACAGTGGGGCATGGTCACACCACAATTCCTTCCCCTCCACTTCCCTATCTTGTGGAATCTTTGGACACACTCATATACCCATGTGCCTGGCATGCTTTTCAAGTTACTGGGGCCAGAATTTGAACTGTAGTTGGCCGTGTGGGATCTGGTTCCCTTACCACTATGACATGGGGTTGACCCAAGCCATTATTTTTCTGAGGAAGAAAAAGAGAGGAGTTTTATATTTTCTTTCTTGGATTTAAAGAGGAGAGCCTAGTTCGTTCACTCTGAATCTTAAAAAAGCTAGCTCTGTAGCATGTGTAAATAAACACTGTAGGGGAACCAGCAGTTAGCGTAATGGCTATGTCACTGGACTCCCAAGTAATCGACCGCGGTTCGTGTCCCGGACCCAGTGGCTTAAAACTCACACCAGGCACATGTGCGTGCGTGCCCAAGATCCCGAGAGGAGAATGGAGGAGAAGGGATTGCGGCATGACCATCCACCCTGGGGGGTGATTTCTCACTTTCTGTCTCTATGTCTCTCTCTGTCTGTCTGGCAAGCGCACACGCCCTATAGTGAAAACCTCTCCAAAAAAAATAAATAAATAAACACTATAGCTCTCCTGCCCCCTCACCATTCTACCTTGGAAAATGTTGGATCACAGAATATCCCAATCTCTATCAGAGCAAAACACGATAGGAATAAGGCCCTAATGTTAAAAACTCATAGACTCCCTTATAATGAAATCATGGAAGTCCTATGGCTATAAGAGTTTGTGGAGACGCGAGACTCTGGGATGTCGGTACTTAGGGGATATGAACCCATGTACTAATACAGTCACCTCTCCTGGAGGCTTCTTTGTCAGGCTTATGTCTGCTTATCAAGCAGCTCATTTAGCAGGGCTGGCAAGTGTGTCTCTTTGCTCTTTTGCTGAATGGCCAGTTGGTTTTTTAAAAAGTGGCTTTCAAAATGTTGTTTTGCTTGTTTTGGGTTTTGGTTTTGGTTTGGTTTTGCCAGCAAGAACAGGAAGGGGAAGGTTCAATGTAAGAGTTTTCTCTCCTGTAAAACTCTCCCACACACAGCAGCACCAGTCCCCACACTGCCACCATCCCTTGTTGCCTGCAGTAGAAACAACACTCTCCTCTCAGAGCCCTTGTCTGTCTTCCTGTGCTAGCTTGAGAGGTCCTTGAGGAGAGAGACTGTTTCTGATTCTTCGTCTTCCCAGTGCCTGGTACAGAGTAGGTATGCAATGAACTCTTTGTAAGGAAGAAGAGAAGAGGTGGGGAAAGGGAGGGAAGTGATTTCCTATCCAGTGACCTACCAAATATGTCTCCCAATTCTCTTGGCCTCTCAGCCTGAGCATAGCTCTAACTGTTTCTCACTTAGATGGCCCTGCCACTCCTCAGGGATGTCTTACAGACAGAATACCCAGACAAAGGCTACCCAAGTCATTCCTTCGCTCTCTGGTTGCTTATATTCCAGTCCCTTTCCCTTCCATCCACATCTCCCCATTACCTGAAATTCATCTGAGTATATTTTCTTTCCCCAGATGAAGAAATGTCATCTTCTCCTATCCAGGTAATAAGAACTGCTCTGAGTCTTTTTCTGAAATGATGGTAGAAATGCAGATGCCCCTGATAGCAGAGGTTGGCACCCAAGACCCTGACATGGAAGAAAGACATTAGATATCAGTGCTTGTGAACCCAAGGGGCATAGCCAGGGCTCAGTTGCATGATTCATTGAAAGAAGCTAGCACTACTGAGCATACCAGTTATGACAGGCAATGTGCCGAGTACTGTCCATGCATGACCCCTACCTATAACTGTCACACAACCGTATACCATAGACACTGTTATGTCCACCCATTTGGGAGATGAGAAAGCAGAATTGCATGATATTTCCCAGTAGCCAGATGCCTGACAAGATGGCAAAGCCAGAATGAAAAACCTATTTTCACTCCAAAATCCATGCTCTTCCTGATAATGTATTGTTTTGCTGTTAGTATCCTAGTCCCACCATACGTAAATCTTAACTCTTGAGTTGGTTCCCTTTTTTAAGAATGCATATTTCTAGAATGGGTGGTGGGATATCACAACCCAATCACATTAAGGTATCATCAGATTGTTCTGCTTTATAAGAATGGGCTGTCCTCAGGGCTGAGACTTTAGGAATTATATGCCATTATGGTCAAGCGTCAGTCTGGAACGTTGAGAAGAAAGTCCACAGCTGTGCAGCTGTACATACTGGACAACATGACACTCTGGCTCCTCATCTAGTGGTTGGGGTGAAAGGAGCCATTTAGAAAAAATGGTCAAAAGATGGAAAGGAGGGGGCTCTAGAAGACAGACTTTATCCAGCATCAGGCCTCGGTTGAAATGAAGTATAAAGTGAGTGGCAAGAAGCCAGATATTGATAATGGCTCTCCTTTGACCGTCAGGACAATGCTGACCAGACCTACACAGAGGACCTGTTCTACACCCTCATCAGTCATAAGGTCCTCAAGAGACCATCAGGGAATTCTGCGGAGGAGTACTATGAAAACATTCCCTGCAAGGCTGAGAGGCCCAGAGAGTGCTCAGGAGGAACTGAGACTGAGTATTCACTTCTCCGGGTGTCTTCCATGCCTAAGCTTCCACCCTTCCCAGGAGATGAATATGAGCTTCTCATGCCTACCAAGATCTCCCCTCACTCTCTGCAAAGTCCATGTCTACTTAAGGCCCCTTCTGAGACTCATTTTTACCATTTATAATAAAGTGGTTGGACAAGCATTTGTTTGAATAAAAGTTAGGGTTGGGGGCTCTGGTCAAAGCCACCATAAGACACAGCCCACCCAGCTTACCTCCCACTATGGTCCTTTCTACAGGGTCTCCACAGGACATGGTTTGCAAACTATGGGGCCTCTCGGATCCTGCTCAATATCCAACATTCAAAGATTAACCAGTTACCCTAAACACCACTATTTAAGAAAGGAGTGTCCATGTTTGGTCCTCAGATATTTTAGAAGTGCTCAGTGGTAGGAAGGGTCCATGGTCCCACAGAGCTGTGCATACCACCAAGTATTCTGTGCTATTGTCTGGGTTCTTCTTGTCAACTGTCTCCATGATTTTTCTCCAAAGAAGCTCTATTCATTACAGCATGTGAACTAAGGGGAAGGCCACGTAGTTCGGTGACCTTTCAGCTCTGCGCCATCTCCTCCCTCTGTGGGAGCAATGGTGTTCCTCTCACTCGATGTGTCTAAGTCGTGTCCTTTGCACAGTGTCTCTGACTTGGTGATCCCCATGGCTTGGTTGGTTATGTGAGTTTAATTAGAAAGTTCAATACTGTTTTTTTTAATATAATATTTTTATTTGCTAAAGGATGTGTGTGCTTGCTAGAGAAAAACAGAAATGAGAGAGAGAAGAGAGAGAAACCCCCGCCCCCCCAATGGAGCATGGTCATATTGTAATCCCTTTTCTTCCATTTTTCTATCCTGTTAGGATCTTGGGCACATGCACATGCACCAGTCATGTTTTCCCAAGCTTTAAGGGCTGGGATTCTAACCATGTGGTTAGCCATGTGGGATCAGCTCCCTTAACCATCAGATCATGGCACCAGTGCTTTATATAGTTTTAACTAATTTTTTAAAAACATTTTTAGCTATAGGGAGTGTGTGCTCATCAGAGAGACAGAGACAGAGAGAAAGCAAGCAATCCTCCAGTGGGTGATGGCCACACTTCAACCCTTCCCTTCCATTCTCCTCTTGGGATTTTGGGCATGCATTCACACACTCTTGGTTTGAGTTTCAAGCCTATGGGTCTGGGACTCGAACCAGGATCAGCCATGTGGGAATCTAGCACTTTAACCTGCTGGTCCCATAGTTTATTTTTTTAAGTTTGTATTTGTCCATACACATTTAAATAAGATAGTTATAGTGTCAGAGAATGATGGAGCCAAAAGACCTTTGGATAATCTTAAATCTCGTCATCTTTTTTTTTTTTTTTTTTGGCTCAGAGATACATTTGCCCAAATGTATCTAGATAGTAAACTCTAAATTGGCTTCCAATTTAGTGTTTCTCTAATATACTACATATAAGAACTTCAAACATATAGTAAATGTCTATATTAAATAATATATCACTTATAAAATATGAATAAAATATCTTCATGGGAAAAATACACACACACACACACACACACACACACACACACCTTCTGCAATGAGCACTCTTTGTATGCCCTGATGACTTTCCCTCATCCTTTTTTTTTAATAATTATATAATTATGTCGATTCCCTAAACCTAGAGTCAGCAAACTATAGCCCACAGGCCAACTCTGGCTCAACACCTGTTTTTATAAAAGAAGTTAAATTGGAACATGGTCACACTCATTCGTTTGCATTCTACCCCAGGTTGCTCAACTGCAGGAGAAATGAAATAGTTGTAACAAACCACAGGACTTACGTAGCCAAAAATACTTATATTATTTTGGTCCTTTAAAAAAAAATGTGCGGTCCCCCTCTCTAAAACAACCATAACTTTAGATGAACTTAACAGAAACATGTTTGGTTATTGATGTAACTCCAAAGAGCAGTTACAAACAAAATTGTATGAAAATATTAAACCACAAGTTGCATGAGTGAAACCAAGAACAACAATCGAATTAAACTATTTCTATATGCACATCTGTTCCCAGCTTGCTGTTTTAACTCATGACCACTGTCCTAATATTAGGCATGTGAAAATAAGAGGTTTGTTGAGACAGGTAGTAGATGCATTATGTGTTTAATTACTATTTTGTTTCCAAAGCTAAATAGCTTGGCTATAGAGAACATGCTCAGTACCCCTTGAGGATAAAGCTAGTGGCTTGAATTTGGATGAGTTGACCCAGGATTCCTGAGACTTCAGCCATTTGAACGTCTTCAGCTAAAAAGCTGACCACATCTTGAGACCAGCAGTTGGCACAATGGCTAGATCTCTGGATTCCCTTGTAGTCGACCACGGTTCGAGTCCCGGACCTGGCGGCTTAAACTCACGCTTGGCGCGTGTGTGTGTGTGTGTGTGTGTGTGCATGCCCAAGATCCCAAGAGGAGAATGGAGGAGAAGGGATTGCGGCATAGCCATCCCCCCTGGGGGAGGGGGGGTGATTTATATATGTATATTTTTTTTAAAAGCTGATCACATCTTGGTACCTGGTCCTCTACTAACTTCCACATCTTGGTAACTGGTCCTCTTCTAACTTCCTACTCTACTCTTAGCAGAATTCTTTTACATGGAGCCCTAACTTTAATCCTTGGCCTGAATTTACTCAAGTTGAAGGGAGACAGTCTTGGTAAGAGCTGAAAGGATTGAAAGAAGGAGTCTAGACCCGGGAGGCCGATTAAGTAATTCAAACCCTGGTTCTCTCTCTCTTTCTCTCTCTCTGTGACCTTGAACATGTTATACAGAAGTCCTTTCACCCATACCTGAAGGGACCACATCGAATGTATGCAGATCATCTCACAGACTGAATAAAAGACTTCAAAAAGTAAAGAAAACAAAGGTCTTTAATGAGATATAGAGAAAAACATGCTGACATGTCTGGTGATCCAGGGTCCCCCAGCAGTTCCAGTGAGGCAGAAACCCAGATTAATAGGTTTAAACTGGAATTTTTCACATGGACACTGGACCATCCTGCAAGTTGGTTGGTTGAAATATCTATACTACAACATGGTAAGTTACATTTGTTCAAACCTTACTTGTGAAAGCATTACCCGTTGCACGGTTTGTGCTTTTTAAGTATAAACACATATTAAGTATAAATCCTTAACCAGAGAAAATCACTCTTCTAATGAAATTAATATTATAAATGCGACTTACTGGGTCATTGGGTAAGTCATGATATTTTCCTATGTTTTTCTATGCAAAATGTGTCATGCCTTTCCTGAAGACTCAATATATTTGAGTAAGACCGTCACTTGAGAGGGCTTCAAAATACCCACTATGATGTATACAGCTATGATATGTCCATCAAAAATAATATTAATAATTTAAAAAGAAAAACGATGAGGAATAAATGTACGTACAAGGTACCTCAGTGTAGAGTATCTAAAACGTCCTAGCCAAAACAAGAAAACCACTGTGTCTGCACCTCATGCCGATGCTGTTTTCCACAGATTTCGGAATTTCTGGTGAAGCCGCATTCCATCTTTGCAGAAAACACACACTCATGTGCACACATTCGTATACAGTTTCAAGGGGTTGGGGATGCCACCTCTCGATAAAAGCATTTCTGTTCTTGAGAAGTTGAGGGTGAGCATTTAAAATCACAAACGTGACCAGAAAACTGCCCCTCCCCCATTCTGGTCTTAAAACTCTGTGTAGTCAGAGTCAAAGTCAAAATTTAGACACGCAATTTATGCAGCAATGGCAGGCCTTGTGGTTTCCGTCTTATGTTATACTAACACCTATAAATAATCCTCTATTCTTATTTAAAACAGAAGAGAGAATTAAGAAGAGGGCAAAGATAGGGCAGGAAAAGTCACCGTTGCAAACACATTCAGGTGTTGGTGTTGGGGCCAACTCAGGGGTCGGTGCTCCAGGTGTTCTCTAAGCTGGAAGAGCACATGCAGAACAGAGACGGTGAGCTTCAGGCCTCCACAGGAGCCTACAGGGTGCCGGAGATTTTGTTTACATTTACCTGACTTTCTCCTTTTTCAAGCCTAACCTCTTAAAATACAGAAAGCCACTTGATCTGAGCATACCTTGATTTTGCCTGCCATTAAATGGATCAGTGTAAATCCCTTCCATTTTCTTACAGAGGGCTCTTTTGTGAAGCACTGAGTGAAGAACTGAGTGGTCCTTATCATCTTCTACAGTCTGACGGTCACGCCTCTCAATTCTTCCCTTCCACCTGATCATTTTCACTCCTTCTGGATTCTAAGACATCAGGCAAGCTTGAATTGAGCATGACCCTAGGTGGCCACCATAGCGAAAGGCCATTCCTCGTGTATGGATGTCAGGTGCACCAGGCTGTGCCCCCCAACAAACTCTGGAACCCTGAGATGGTCCTTCCACCTCTCCAGGACTCAGTTTCCCAACTTAAGATGAGGGAAAGGGCACATTATCTCTAATCATAAAGGAAAAGACAAAAACATGTGTATGGATAAAGCTGCCCGTAATGCACCAGTAACATGAATTACTTTCTTTAAAACAATGAAATTTTGAATCTTCGGAAAAGTTATGATTTATTTTTTTCCACATTTTTCTATGCAAAAATATATCATAACTTTTCTGACAACCCAATAGTAATGAGGGAGGAGAAGCAACGGTTTGGGGAGATTTCTCCCATTTTCCTTTGCATTACTCAGACTCTGAATAGGGGGAATTCGTGTCCAGAGAACACACCTAAAATGAAAAGGAGAGAACACGCAGCCAATGCTAAGGAGACACACACGTGTGAGGAAGGCAATGCACTAACGCAAATCCCACCAGGGCCTCAGCATTCTGCTTGAGGCCCACTTCCCATGCAAAGCCTTTTCCAACTAAACTGCACTGACCACTCTTTTCTGTGACCACCCACAACCCTACAGTTCGCCATTATTTTTTTATCACCTGGGTATTTTTTTCCTGCTGTTTATCATTTCATCTGTGCAGGTTATGGCTCCCTAATAAAACCATAAACCTCTTATTGTTGTCTTCTTCTCCATTGGTATCCTTATAATCTTTTATAAAACAGATCATTAAAAAAAAAAAAAAAAAAAACCTATAAAACTGGGGACCAGCAGGTGGCATGGTGGTTCAGGTACTGGAAACTCTCACATGGCCAACCATGGTTCAAGTCTCGGACCTGGTGGCTTGCTTTCTCACTTGTTCTCTGTCTGTCTCTCTCTGGTCAAATTAAAAAATAAATGAATAAGTAAATAAAATTAAGTAAAGTAATTCTTTTTTTAAAAACTATAAGATTAAATTAAATTGAAAGGCAGAAAGAATTGGACACAAGGCTAGAATTTTTATTGGCAAGGAGAACAGGTATGGGATCTGCTGATTTGAGTGTCTTCATTCTATCCATTTTCCTAAGTGACTTCCAGGAAAAGAACAGTTTTTCTTCTTGAATCCTTTGATGATGTGGATTTGCTGAAACCTGACTACACATTAAGCATTACGTCCATCATGAAGAGTCTGATGACCGACACGTCCGTCTCTACAGCAGAGCAGCCTATGTGCCTGTGCCATTCCACCCAGATCCTCAAACCAAGGCCAGCTCTTTCCATACCACGTGGGCCACAACATCAAACCCAAGGAAAGCCTTATTACTTGCGAGTGGTCCACAGCCAAGACGAGGTACTTGATCTTGGTGCTTTCCAAAGGAAAAGCAAAGAACAAAGTCCAATCCTGTCTCCAGACATGAATAGGTCCTACCGTCCCATCCCAGGCCCTTTCAGAAACCTGGTCCTGCCAGGAAGGGCCCTTGGAGGTCGTGGAGGAGGTAGATTAGATGGAAGACCTCTCTCTATTCCCACTAGAACAGAGAAGAGGCTCCATCCACGCCCAGACTAAACCACACCAATCCTACTCACTCAGAAGAGGAAGCTGGCCCCCAAGAAACAAAAAGATCACTTCCAGCACTTACTGTAAGAAAATGCCTGTCTCCAAGCTCAGCCCCGCAGTGTGAACCTTCCTGAGACAAATGTGAATGCAACAGTGGAGGAGTAAAAATAATTTATTGTTAATATTTTAAAAATCATTTTCCATTAAAATGTTTATACTTTCTAAAAAGTACACACACTCAGGTTCGTATTTAACATGTAAAAAGTAAAGAGGAAGAAAGTTTACAGGTTTCGCTAGTTTAAGGAACTAGCCCTATAACCACTGAATAAAGGCAATTTCACATTTGCAGAGTCCTGGATCACAAAGTGCTTGAGTCAAATATAGCCTGAGATATACCCTCTAGCACAAACCCACTCACAGCTGCCCCTCACGCTGGCTTTCACCTATAGCTAATTTAACTGAGATAGTGGGGCCAAGGATCTCTGGTTACATGACCACAAAGCTCTTGGGACCAGCAGTGAGTGTAATAGCTATGTCACTGGACTCCTATGTAGTCGACCGCGGTTCGAGTCCCGGACCCGGTGGCTTAAAACTCACGCCGGGCGCGTGTGCGTGCATGCCCAAGATCCTGAGAGGAGACTGGAGGAGAAGGGATTGAGACATAGCCATCCCCCAGGGGGGTGATTTCTCGCTTTCTGTCTCTCTGTCTCTGTCTGTCTGGCAAGCACACATGCCCTATAGCAAAAACCTCTCAAAAAAAAAAAATCCAATATCTCAGCAAATGTTAAGCAGTCTTAATGATTCTCTGATGGAAGTTTATAAAAATAGGAATGGAGTGACTCTCCAAAATGATACTCATATGTTCAAAATTCACAGTGACCCAGGTTTTCAGAAGAGGTGTTCAGGAGTCACAGGAACAATAAAGAGGTGGGAAATAAGTAGAAGACACAAATCTTATTTCTGCATAGATAGATAGATAGAGGTAGGCAGATAGATAAGAATATAACACAATAACATTGGTTGATATGCCTAAGGCTGGCCTGCTAAGCTGCCCAGGCACCGGTCATGGGAGCAGACACGAAGCTGTGCTGCTGAAGTCCTGTAAAGTGCCCTCCTCATCCTCAGCCCGGCTTAGACATAGACTGGCTCAGTGCTCCCTCACCTGGCCTCCTGCCTCTCCTTGTTCGACCAGCACAGCCTGATGGAATTCTCCCTAAAAGGAAGCAGTGCACACCCTTGCACTCAGAGAAAATATCCATCTGTAAGTGGAGGCACAAGTGATTCAAGAAAAGCAGAGCAGGGATGGCCGTGTAGTGCAGTAGCTAAGTACAGTGCATTGGATGCCATACCCCATATGGCTGGCCTTTGTTTGAACCCCAGCCCCGGCAGCTTAAAGAACACATCAGATACATGTGTATACATGTCTTCTTCTCTCTTTCTGTCTCTGGTGAGTACACACTTCCCTGACAATTAGGGGGATAAAAAGGAAAGAAAGAAAGAAAGAAAAAAGAAGTGACCTCACACTGTGGGGTCCACCGTCCACCACATCACCCAAGCCCCATCTGGTTTCCCATCTTTTTCAAGACAGGACCCAGCTGGGGCAGAGCTCCAGAGCTGTTTCGCAGGATGTGCAGTCAGACTTCACCCCTGTGCAGAATCAGGCGAGAAAGTGCAGTCTCCACTCCTTTGGTCATGGCTAGATACTTCCATGCTAAGCCACAGATCTTTTCTACAAAACAGAATAAACTCTATCTCCAAAACTCAGTGGACCACTGCTGTCAAAGGCAAACTGACCTTCACTGCTTCATTCTGAAAAAAAATAAAAAGAATAAAAGTCATTAATGTTTAAATCATTATTATCTTAAACCTCTATGCTTTTATTTTATTTCATTGGGTTAAATAATCTTATGTGAAAGAGAAATACTTGTGAATTCCTAATAGAGGGAGTAACACTGCAAAATCAAACCCAATTTGGGAGCCACACAGTGGTGCTGTGGCATACAAGATCGAGATTATATGCACCCCCTGCCAGCAAGAAATACGTGTCATTGCAATGAACACCTTCTCGTCCTGTGTGCTGTGTAACTTCCTGCTCCACTCCTCTGATCCAGACTGCTACTGTGCCTGCACGCCTGCTCCTATTTCTAATTTGCTTTAGCCATTCATTGGACTAGTGTGTCCAGTAAGTACTTACAGCTGTGCAGGAAGTGTTTCTGAGGGACTGTGAGTGAGAAGATAAAATGTTCAGGATTGTTGGCCTCTACGGGTTAAACAAGAGTCAATACACCTCCACGTGACGTATCAGAAGTGAGACATGAGATGTTGTTATTGGAAGCAAAAGTCAAAGCTTCTAGGAGCAATGGAAACTCATCTCCAAGGCTAGAAACCAATTTGTCTTCTAACCTTCCTGTTTGCTAGGTTTTACACAAAGTAAGAAAGGTTCTCGGAATCTAACAAATGGGATGATTGCTATGTTTATAATGAATCAATTTCCTTGGTCTATTCTTCGTTTTAAAGAGAGACAAGTGCATTTGGTATGATTGTCTAAGGAAAGAAAACCAGTTTACCCAACTGAATTTCTTGAGGAACTCAGTGGCCTTCAACCAAAAAAAGGAATAGATCCTTTGTATTGAGATAGTCTTTCAACAACATCGCTGTCCTTTTTATGTTGAATTCTTCGATATTTACTTCTCTTGTGAAACCACGGTGTTTCATGAAGGTTGTAATGACGTTTTGCAGTAGGGTACAGGGCTTAGGCCGTGGGTGAACTGCAACAAGGAAACTTTGAGCAATCTTCATCTTGAGAGTTTACTTATTTTTTCCATGAATTTTTTTTTCCAGTCACACTGTCTGCATATAGAAGGCAAAGATGATGTCATCTCTACAGAGTGTGGCACACCCACTGCCCGGAAGGGACATGGGTCGAGTGAAGGAATGAATGACTGACTGGTTTGACACAGGGTCAGGTCACCGAAGTTGCCTCACCCAAACCATCTGTCTCCAGTCCGTTGCCTTATTTATCCTCACGACTCTGACTTCCCCACCTACTCTACTTACCATATGGTAAGGGCTTCTGGATCGAGCCCCAGACGCTCACAACCAGGGACATGCTGATCATGGAAATCCTGCAGCAGAATGCTCAGCACCAGTTCCTCACTCATCATGTACTTCAGAAAGTTGTCGTCTCCTGAAGGAATCCCAAATTGCAGGTAGTAGGTGACGGTGGCATTTTCACCACTAAAAGGCAAACCGAACAGCGACATTAAAACTTAGGTAAAGAGTCATCGTCTAACTCAGGAAGCCAAGTTTAGCCATAATATTTTCTTAGTTCCACATGTTCTTTCAGCACAAAGCAGGAAGGGAGTTCTGTCCTAGGAGAAGGTACTGTCCTAGAAGAATCCTCTTCTGTCTGTTCATCACTAAAAGTTGTGATCCTCATCTCCTCCTTCTGCCTAGCACCCATTCCCTAGAAGAGACCATGGCATGAGGGAGAGGGGCAGCCCAGCTATTTTCTTTTTTCTTCTTCTTTTTTTTTT